CTTATTACCCCCCCAGACCACCATACACCTTATTATCTCCCTCAGTCCCTCCATAGGTCCCTATAGTACATCCCAGCCCTCCATGCATTCCTATACCCCCTCCCAGCCCTTCATGTGTCCCTATACCCCCTCCCAGCCCTTCATGTGTCTCTTTAGCCCTCCCAGCCCCCATGTGCCCCATTAGTTCCCCCCAGACCCCTATGTGTCCCATTAGTCTCCCCCCCAGGAGTCCCATTAGTTCCCCCCAACCCCCATGTGTCCCATTAGTTCCCTCCCAGCCCCCATTCGGCTTAGTTCCCCACCCCAACCCCTATGTGTCACATTAGTTCCCCCCAGCCTCCAAGTATCCCATTAGTTACCCCCAGCCCCCATATGTCCCATTAGTTCCTCCCAGCCACCATGTGTCCCATTAGTTCCCCCAGTCCCCATGTGCCCCATTAGTTCCCCTCAGCCCCCATGTGTCCATTAGTTCCCTCTCCCAGCCCTTATGTGTCCAATAGTTTCCCACCCCAGCCCCCATGTGTCACATTAGTTCCCCCCAGCCTCCAGGTGTCCAATTAGTCTCCCCCAGCCCCCATATGTCTCATTAGTTCCCCCCAGCCCCCATGTGTTCCATTAATTTCCCCTCAGTCCCCATGTGTCCCATTAGTTCCTCAGCCTCATGTGTCCCATTAGTTCCTCCCCAGCCCTCATGTGTCATTGGTTCCACCCCAGCCCCAATGTGTTTCCATGGTTTGGACCCCCAGGTGTCCCATTAGTTCCACCACCTGCCCCATATGTCCCAAGTGGTTCACCAAGCCCATGTGTCCCATGGGTCTCCCCTGCCCCATATGTCCCATTATGGTTTCCCATGTGTGTCCCATTAGTTCCCCTGGGTGCCATGTGTCCATTGAGTTCCCCCTAGTCCCCATGTGACCTATTGGTTTCCTCCCAGCCGCCATTGGGTCCTCCTGCTTTATATGTCCCATTAGTTCCCCCCAACCCCCAGGTGTCCCATTAGTCCCCTCTGCCCCCATATGTCCCATTAGTTCCCCTCAGTCCCCATGTGACCTATTAGTTCCCTCCCCCAGCCCCCATGTGTCCTAATAGTTCCCACCCAGCCCCCAAATGTCCCATTAGTACCCCTCAGCCCCCATGTGTCCCTTTAGTCCCCCCCAGCTCTCCCACCAGCTGTGCCTTGCTTTTAGCCCAGCATGGCTGAGCAGGCAGACCGCAGTGGAGGTGCTCATAGCTCTCTATGAGCACTTCCTGTCAGACCGGGTAGGGGAACAGAAGCTCCATTCTGTGACCAGCAGGAGGGGAGCACAACCCTATCTGCTGGTTACTCTGTAATTGCGCCGTGTGGCCTGCTGGCCAGTGTGCAATAGGTGGCAGCGCACCAGCCCGATAGTGTGCCTACCCATTGGGAAATTTCCCAGTATCCCAGTGGGCCAGTCCGGCCTTGGAGGAGGATAGAATAGTAATGGAAATACAACTTT